GAAAACATAAAACTTTGTAATGCTTTATCAGGATCAAAATCCCCTGCTATCCTGTTCCCATCCCTCCCAATCCACCTTCCGACTCCTTGCAGAGCAACAGTGACTTGCAGAGCCACTCTGCCAGTTTTCCTTGCTATGATGGAGGCTGGGCAGAGAGTGTTCTTGACACTGAACATGTAGCAGTGCTTCCATGACAACAAATAAGATGTTACACGTTGGAACTGTGCAGTGAAAAACCAAGCCTAACCAGGACTCGAAGAAAGCAGTTCGTTTTGGCAGAACACTGCTCCTCAGAAATGCTCAGGGTAAGCCACAGTTTCTTTGCATGCCCCCATACACTCTGCAGTTCCTGGGAAAAAGAGGAAAAAATGGCAGAATTTTTTTTTTTCCCAGACGGGTTTCACTGCCAGAGACCATCTTCAGGAGTTCACAGCAATAGCCTCCATTAGCTGCAGAACAGGGCAAAGGGTATCTGATCCAACCTGTCTGTCTGTACCTGAGGACAGTGCCCATTGCCAAAATAAAGACACCTCTCCTGCCATTCAGAAATACAAAATACTTGTCATTTTCAGTAATTGACTGGGACTGACATTTGGTCTCATCACTGCTCAGTCTTGAGAATCCAAACTTCACTGAAAGGAAAGCCAAGGGGTGAATGGATGCTGACCATGGTGATACATGTATGAAACTGAAGTGCCAGCTGGCAGGTTAATATGTTTTGCCAAACTTATTTAGCACCTGCCAGTCCATTAATGAACTTGTTTGAAAGAAACTGCTTGCTCTTAGCTATTGAACCTTCCATCCTAGATCGTATTGCATGGAACTCACCTACTCATTGTGATGATAAGCCTTCTGGGGAGTAAGGAGCTGTGCCCGAGAGCATGCTCTAGTGGCTACACCTCTAGCCACTGGTCATGAGCTTTGGGCACTATTTCTGACTATGTGACTTGCAGCATGCTGCTTTCTGGATTCCACTATAATGACGGTCATTTTTGGGTAGGAAATACAGGTGCCATTCCAGTTTAGTGGCTCATGACAAGCTCTAACACAAACTTCAGTTCGCACATACTCTTAAAGAGGTGGCTTTGGACAAGTTGTCGTGTACCAAGAGAGGTGACCTCTACTTGCATGACCCTGAAGGTTGGCCTGTATTCACCTGATGTGTCCCACCAGCTTCTGAGACTTCATAATGTATGCTGTTCTGAACAAATGAATCAGCTCTGGACACCTAGAAGAGCAGATGGGTTGCAGGCAACCAGACTCCAACCTTCCTTCCTCAGGTGACCATGTGGCATTTAACCACAGGTGTCTTACATCTGACAAGCCTGGTCAGGAACCTGTCAGGCTTTAACCTGCAACTTCAGACAATGCTGACACAACCACTCTGGACTGAAATACAGTACACTCTCACTATATTAAATTAGCTCAGATTTATGCTGTAGTGATGGTCAACACATTGTGCCTTGAACAATTTAGTCTGAGAAATGCTGCTTTAAAAAGACCTAATAACTTTAACAATTTATTTTCCCTGAATGTTTTACACTTAAGAAGTCTATCCAGAAGTAAAAACCATTCAAATCCTGACAACCTGGGTATAACCAATTAAATTTAAACTTTTTTATTTTTTCACAGGGGTGCAGAAAAAAAAACCCAGGTAACAACTACAATAGTTAGGATAAATCTTACTAGATGCATTTTTACCACACTGACTCTGATTCAGCAGGTCACTGGACAGCACTGTAGAGGTGTTTAAAAATAAGGGATCTTCACAACAGAGTAACTTGAGCTTCTCATTACCAGTGGGAAAGTCTACAGATTTTATAATCATTGCATATTCTAATATTGTGCAATACAGTCTGAAAATAACTAGGTTCACTAGCCATGTATCATCATGTTCGCAGTCCTGACCTCCCGGTGTTAAACTATTCTAAAATCAGTTTTGCTATATCAGCAGTCAAAACACAGAGCTAATGAAGATGTGGGATAAAGAAACATATTTCATAAATTATACTAACCTCAGGTGATCTGCATCATCTTAGACTTGTAATATGTTCTCCTTTTTTACAATACATCTAGTTTTGGATACTGATATTTTCACTTAGCTATGATATCACCTTCTACTTAGAACAGCATCTTTCATCCTAAAATGTGGTCTCTCCACCTACCTGTAGGATGAAGCTGAGTACACAAAGTGATGAAGAGAACCTAGACAAAGCCACATGAAACGTTACGAGAAGAAACTCAATCAGAAGAGCGGGGAAAAACAAAAATTTGGAAGAGTCATATTACAGAGATTAGTATCTGGCCAGCAAATTTGGGTTAGCATTCTGTTCTCATCCACGGACCGAAAAGGACCCTGCTTTTACATTTCAGTGAACAGATGGTGAAATCCCACTTCCTGCTACTTTCATGCTGGGAGAGTAACTCAATACTGCATCAGCCAGGAGACCAACACCTACAGAGCTGCAAGAACACTCTGCATGGAAACTGGCCTCTCCTTGGAGGTCTCCTAACCAGAACCCCTGCCACATTATTTAAAGAATATCACACGCTCAAATCTGAGATGGCTTTGGAAAATGCAAGCAAAAGCTGATGCTCTGTGCCTTGATTAGCCTAACACAAGATAATATGTATATTTTATGCCTTTATGCTTAATTGCAATTGCATTTTAGTGGCTTCCATGAAAAGGACAGATTATATTTGGTGTCATTATTACTAGTGTATCCATCCAGAGAAATCTGTAACAGTTATGTTGCAGAAGACATTAGTGAATAATACACAAAAAAATGTTAAGAAAAAAAAAAAAAAGGTTATTTCATTCAGGACTAATGTCATCAGTACACAGATCTCCCAACTTTCCAGTGGTTTGCATCAGCTTTGAAACAGTGACATGGAAAAAGGCACCGAAGCAGTAATCAAACCTGTGAAAACAAGCAAACCAAGATCTTCTGCTTTGAGAACAGATACAAGCAAAGGTGTGAACACCAGCAATGTAATGCTGAAAAAAATGAGCTTTATACATCTCTGAAGAGAATCAGACACACTGGATTTTGCATACATCACAAAACAGGTATACAGGTTTACAGAGGCTATGATGGGGTTTAAAGATCTTAGGTTGCTTTTCTTCAAGATCAGTCCTGAAAGGCTATGTGGTCTCTTCCATCCAATAGCTTTAGAAGCTACTCATAGAATAGCATAAACATACTGTGGTTGCAGCCTTATAGAAATAAAGAAGAAATAAACTTGGAAAAAAATTCTGGGAAAAATAATAACTCTGTTTTGAACTGTGAAATTTTTTTTAAAAAAAGGATTTTTCTTTTCTGAAATACAATATTCAAACACAAGTGGCAAAAATCCAAACAACAAAGATCATACCCTCACCATATACTTCATTTTCTTAAGCAGGTGAACCATCAGAGCCCTCCAATTTTCATCTACTCCATATTTCAGTTGTAGAAAGTGTTACATCAGCATAGTCACCAGGTAAATCTGCTGGTTTATTCTAAATGGACTTTCTTCAGACAGTGGCACAGATGATGAGTGATTGTCCAATTCTGAAGCTATCAGAACTGTATGGATTTAGCAATGTCATAAACACCTCTCGAGGGAGTCACCTGGTGTTGAGAACCCACTTTACATGCCGTGTTTCAAAATCAGTTTTAATGGATTTACATTAGATTCAAACCCACTTTAGAGCTATTATTTCTTCCTTTCAACCTTTTCACACACTACTGCAATGTACTACAGCATATTTTATAATCACATGTTTGCAGGCCTGTGGGAAAGTAAACAAAACTTCAAAGGGTTATTATTTAAGGGCTCTGTATTATGGCCATAGGCCTGACTGTTTTTCTTCCTCACCACCCCTTGGGCCCAAAGCACATAATCATCCAGTAATTGAACTGAAATGTCTAAATGGCTAGATCCCCTGAAGGACATAAGTAGTTAGCAGTGAAGAAAGTAAGGGACATTTTAAAAAACCCTCATGGCTCTTTCCTGCACTGCTTAGAAACACCGTGTAAATGTAACTGACCTGGACCTGATAGGCTTTTACGGAGAACAGAACAGTGCATGGATATTTCTGGAGTTGTAGCTGAAGTAAAGATTAAATGTTGAGCCATGCTCTGTTTGGAAGCAAAGATCTTACATTTAAATTACTTTCAGAAGAACTGAGAAGAAGAAACAGAAATATACATATGTACACAGAAGTATATAACACAATAGTATCACTAATACCACATGAAAGCAAACCCCTCTAGGTCCTCATACTTAATAGCCCATCCAAAAAGTGTAATGGATAGCAGATCCCAGGCTTTCATACACTGTAACTGTCAAAGCACTCAGGAGATAGAGAAGTGAAGGCTCTGACAGCTCTCTTTTACATTCTAAATGACATCTGCATTCAACAGAACAGAAATAAAGATTAAGGGAAACACCTGATATGATAGCACTCAGCTTACCTCAAAATGCAATATTTAAAAAGTACAGAGAAACATAGGTCTGCCTCCTTGTACTGTAAGTAAAAACTGGTGTCAAAGCCTCTGAGGTCTTTACCGCTGCCAGGAAGGCAGCACCACAGCATCCAACAGACTGCAGGGGCAGGAGCCACAGCCTCCAACTATGGAACTGTTGGAATCAAAAGGTGCTTCACCAGAGGAGGGAGGAAGGAGACGGCCTTTGAACACACACAGAAAATGGCTACAGGTACAGTCACACAGCATAAGGAAATTAACTTGGCCAAAACCTTTGCAGCCTCTCGTGTACCCCAGCGAGGAGCAGAATGCCCCTCGGTGCTCTGGCTCTGTACCTTTTGCAGTGAGTACCTGCTGCAGATCTCTTCTAGGAGGTTACCAGCATTACGGCTTCGAGCGAGACACGTCAGCACACAGATCACGAGAGATGATTTCAAATAGATTTTCGCTGGTTGATTATATAAACGATGCCTCTTATAGCTGGAATAACACCTCAAAGGCAATATAATGACGACATGACAATGTATGTAAATCAAGAACTGCATGTGGGTTTATTTTACACTTGAGAAAACAGTGGATTTAATTGTGTGAACCAAAATGTACTGTACAATATTAATGATAAAACATCAAAATGTATAATTCATAGTGCATTGCTTGCTTTATTTTTATTTATTTAATTTTTTTGTCAGATAGTTCCTTTAAGTACATGCATCTGGAAAGATGCAGGTGCCAGTAAAATTCCTCTATTTATATCAAGCTGCAGGAACTAAATTTTATTCAAAAAGTGTGGTTTTACATTATATACACAGAAATTGAATATAAAATGACAATATAAAAAGTTAAAAGAGAAAGCATACAGCCAGAAGGTACAAAGAAAGTTGAACAGTTTAAAATGGTACGATATGTAACATGTATTTTTTTTTAAGCTGATGCTGGCAATTTACAAGGAACAGAATCCAACATTTGCCCCATTTTTTTTTTTTTTGTTTTCATTTACCAATGCAGCACACTATAGAAAGGTCAGCTTGTACCAAAGCTTAACATTTGTAAATAACTATAAACTGCAGTATTTTACAGGAAAAAAAAAATAAAGGAAAGAAAAGAGCATTTTTACATTTGTTTTAAATAACAGCTTGCATACTTTTTCTCTTTTTTTTTTTTCTTTTGCCAAAAAGTGGCAATTCTCAGCATCCAGAGGGTATGGGCATAGTGGCAACTTGGTTTGCTTTTTTTTTAATTATTATTGAACTTATACAGTTGTGGCTTCCTAACCCCTTGAGTACTACACAGCTCTCCTTCTTCCAAGGACTGCATGCACAATATCTTCACAAACCAGTTCTGCATTAAAAAAAAAAAAAAAAAAAAAGGAAGCTCATTCATTAAAAAAAAAAAGTCCTGCTTCCGACACAGCTTTTATTTAAATGAAATGCCTTTAAGCCTTTTGTTTTGTTTTGCTTTTCCTTATTTACTTATTTACTCACTGGGAAAGGCACAGAAATGCTATTACAGTTCTCAGAGGGTTAAAACTTGACACTACCAGGTTCTGTGACCTTTATTGTCATGGCAACTTTGTAATTTTAGGATGTCTCTTTATCATTGTTCTTTGTGTCTTTCTTTACGGCTAAATTAATGTCTCTCAATAGTGTCTCCCACTATATTCTACAAAAGATAGCTTAACATCAAGGACAGATGTTGAAAATAAAGGTCAGACTTTGACTCACAAAAAATAAAAACAGAAACAAAAAAATAACCATGCACAGATCAGACAAAGAGCATATAAATATAGCTACAAAATAAGTGTAAGAAAAACCAAGGTCCAGATAGGCAGTTCAGCAACAAAAGTAAGACTGATTTCAGAGGCTCAGGTCAGGCCTAGTGCAGTACTATGAAGAAGTTTAGTGCAATGTTCCTGTGGTCACTTGCATACCTGGCTGCTTACCTGGACGCTATTGTTTTTCTAACTCAGTTACATAGATCAGATGGTCCTCTGGGGACTTGCCATGTGTTTTACTAAGGTGCAGTTTGACTGCATGCTTGCTTGCAAAAGTTCGGTTACAGAGCTTACATTGGAATGTGGAGCCTAAGTCCTCCTCGGCAATTCCAAGTGAGCCCAAAGTCTTGTTTGTGAGGACTTTTGAAACATTCTGCTGTTCTTGAATCTGATTAAGTGGCAACTTTGACAGATCCTTCAAACTAAACCCTAGGTGTGTCTCTAAGTGACTTATGTATGTAGAAGCAGTCCTGAACTGAGAGGCACAATCATTGCAAAAGAAAACAGGATGTCCTGTGTCCAAGTTCTTTAAAAATTTAGTTCCACCTGTCCTCCTTAACTGATACTTCACATTGGCCAGCCAGTGGCTAATTGTGGTCATGGAAAGACCAGTAAACTTAGAGATGTGTACCCGCTCTTGTGGACCTAGGTCCGACATAATGTATTTGCCTTCTGGGGTCTCCCTCAAGCTGGAAGCAAACTGGGCTTGAAGGATCAGAAGATGCTGAGGGTTCCAGTTGGACTGTCTGCCCTTCCTCTTGTGTACTGGTGACAGTTCATCTAGAGCTTCCTCAAAACTGCTCCCATCAGCATCAGACTTCTCTGACACGGTAGAGGGAGTTGAAGACTTGGGTGTCAAACGCCCCGTGAGGTTCTTCACCATATCAGAAATATCCAGCAGGGCACTCTCCCTCAGCGGGGACGAGGCAGAGTCAGCCACACTGGAAACAAGAGGCTTGTTTTTGGACTTAGTTAAATCAATAGGTTGATCGCTGTTCTCATAGTAATACCGGTCAATAGCATCAGCCTGCTTGACCGGAGTGGTTGGGTAAATGGGTTTGTCCAACATGCTGTTACTAATTTTGTACAGCATGGCCAAAGGGTCCAGAGAGGGGCTTACCGGCTTAGAAATTTTGCCTAAGTGGGTATTCATAATGGACTGTAAAGCGCTCAATGGATTAATGAAGGATGGCTCAGGTGAATGATCTGTGATAATTCCTAAATTGTTACAGCCATTTGCAACCTTTGTTTTAAGTGGCTCCGTACCATTTGGCGTATGTGCTTCTGCTGGACTATCCTTTTTGACCTTCTGAACTTCAGACTCAGAGCTCTTCTTTGGCTGCTGTTTGTTATTTATTTCTTCTGCTTTCGGGAAGTCCTTGTTTTCTTTAGCAGCAGGTGACATGGGTTTAACTGGAGAACTCTTCTCCTTCTCCAAAGGCTTTTCCTCCTTCTTCACGTTGATTTTACCTGTAACTTTCTCCACTAGCTCCTCCATAGCAGACACATTGCTCTTGTGAGGTGGGGGTGTGAGATTGCCCGGGGAATGGATGAGTGCATTGTGTTCTGACGACAGTGATTTCACACTGCTTGCGTAGGACGGCTGCATTTGAACGCTCTGCACCGCGGGCTGAAGGGGTTTGACTGTTCCCGGGAGCTGGTAAGCTGCATGAATACTGGGATATCCTCCCCAGGAAGGGGCTCCATTCTGGGCTTTGCTGATGGCTGTTGTCACTGTGTTCTCCAGGGATTTCAATATGTCTATTCCTCCTTTGGGACTATCATCTAGGTCCTCCTCTCTGAGGTATTGATACAAAGTTGTTGGCTCAAATTTCTCTGTGGAGTCCTCACTCTCTTCTTTAATCTTTTTCTCTGTTTCAGTGACCACCAGCTTTTCCTTCTCTAGGTCCTTCTTTTCCTCCGAGTTTGTGGAGCCCGCTGGGGAATCGGGCTGCTTTTTAATGTTGGAGGCTGGTAGCCTTGTGTGGGTGGTGGGTGGAAGAGGTATAGACTGTATTTTCTCCTCCACCACTGGGTCCAACACTAGCTGTTTGCCTTTTTTGGAAGCAGAATTGGTCACCTTCAAGAAATGACCGGTGACCATCATGTGAGCAGTGAGCTGCTGCAAAGTGTCATGGGAACTGCCACATTCCATGCACTTCAGTATTTGGGCTTTGCGTGCCTCAAACTGCCAAGTGTAGCTAGCACCATTTTGATAGCCATAGCGGTTGTTCGGAGTCACGTAGGGATTGGCAGCTTTCTGATCCTTTGCAGACTCACCCAGTGAAGCTTCTGTCGTGATCCCTGTTGGCTCAGGTGAACAAGGCGAAGCCAAGTCCTGAAGTGCTCGCTTTTTGGTAGAAGGGACCAATTTGGTGATGGCTGGTACTGGCTCCTTCAGAGGCACTTTCTGGTAATGCTTTGTTTTTATCATATGGACACTGAGGTCTTGCAAAGACTCAAATGAATGCCCACAGTACATGCATTTCAGCACTTTCTGGGCATCCTCTTTGCCTTCCATTTCCATGAGCGATCGTTTCCTAGGCTTTGACCACCGCTTGGTCTTATCAGCTTCTTTATCTCTGTTGTCATCACGGTAATGTCCAGTTTCGTTCATGTGCACTGTTAGCTCCACCAGCGTGTCGTAGGCTGCACTGCAGTCTTTGCATCGGAACTTGCTGGCACCGGTGAACACAGACCCATAGAGTTTATTGTTTTGCCGGTAAAGCTGTACCGTGCTGAAGAGACTCGGCTCTGGGAGAAGTCCATACGATGAGGTCTGCTGCAGAGTTTTAGCTAACGCAGCCTGGTGCCAGTCGTAACCTGAGCCACCACTGTTACTGTTACTGTTACTAGTACTACTGGTGGTTGTACTGGTACTAGTGTTCGTACTGGTAGTACAAGTACTCTGGGAATTGGCATTGGCCTCAGTACTGGCCGTGTTTTCATTCTGGCTGATTCCGTTGTTGCTGGTGGTTGGATTGGATTTCTTTAAGTCCAAAGCTAAACTGGACCAGCAAGTCTCTGAAAGCAAATTTGCATACACAGCTTTTATTTGTGCCAAGCTGTCCTGTGGATAGGAAACATTGTCTGTGCACTGAGGATCCTCTTTCTCTTCTTTAGAGGAAGTGCTTTTGAAATGGGCCAGCTGATCGCTGTTTTCACTAAACGGCGAACCATAGCCTGCATCCTGATTAGTTGCAGTGCTGACTGGGGAGTTCTGGTAGCTTTGAGCCTCTTTGATCTCCGCTTCTTCATTGCACAAATACTCATTCTCCTGGATGTCCAGAGACAGCCCGTCATCTTCCACGCTGTCTTCATCTATTTCTGCTGCTTTCAATTCTTCCTCAGGAACATATGCTAAAATACAGGAGGGGAGATGGGGGGGAAACAAGACAGTGTTATTGAACATGCACATTTTACATGGCTCTCCTGCACTAAAAACACTAACCATGAAGACGAATTTTGAAGATACATCCAAAACACAAACTCACCATCACTCACACACTCCTCCTATAAATCCACATACTCTGTCATGGTTACAGTTTGATATCAGTGATACTGAAGAATAAACTTTGACTTCAGCTGTAAAATATGTGCCCAGATCACAGTAAATAGCATAATATCAAAACTAAAATCAAACAAAGAGCCTACTAAACTAGTTTTTATCAACCTAAAAAATGGCCGGGCACTGAGCTATATTTACTACACTACATATATATGTGTAACGCATTGCAGCTGACCTGCATCCCTCAGACCATGACACTCAGAATCACTGACTTGACCAACTCTATCTTGTCAGTTCTGTCTTTTCTTGCAAACTGGCTTTAGCTACAGCTTCAGGGGCCATTTCTGTGTAACTGATACCTGACTCTAATGAAGCCATACAGGGCAAGAGTGTCAGGTCAGCTGTTCTCAGGGTCTCCTGGTGTCTGGCTGTACTGCGTCCATCTGAGAGCAGAACAGCTTTCATTTTTTGAAAGGTGAAAAGAGAAGCAAGACTGATTGCTTTCTGAAATGGGTAGGATGTAGTTTGCCTCTGGTTACGATCTGATGTGGGTCCTGCATTTAAGATTTTGAAAAAAAAGCAGTCAGAAATTAGAAGTAAATGCTAGAGATTAATTTCTTAAAGCAACAAACAAAAACCTTGGTATCTCCACTGCACCTTGCTTATTGGCTTATGGAAAATATAAAACTTTGCTATTGCATTGCTATCTGTGAAACTATATGATCTCACCAAACTATGTGTTTATCTATATCAAACCATTTGTTAAACTAGCAAATGTGATATTCATGAGCAGATGGCCATTACATCAAAACACATTTACTCCAAGGGCTCAATTCACACAAGTGACTTACATGTACCTAACTGATAAATGTACACTTTCATTGCAAAGCAGAAAACGTAGCTGTACACATCTCTCTCCAGTTTTGTAAAAGAAGCTTAAAAAAAATCACAATGCTAATGGAATGTAGATCATTTTATAAGAGTGTCAAGGTAGAAAATATGGATTATGAACAATTTTCAGTAACTGAATAAAAAAGTGCCTCCTTGTCAGGTGAACTCTGCAGCAAGTGATGCTGAAATGTGTCCTGTGTCCTTTCATGGTACAGTACTGAAAGAAAGCCAGAAAAGAGGCACTTCTGCTCCTGTGTGGTATGAAGAAAATATGTATTATCATGTTAACAAAGCTGAGGTCTTCTACAGCTGGGGGGAGCATAAGTACAAGACGAGCTTCTTTTTGTACACAGTTGCTAACATATTCTGAAATGTCTTTTCTGAAAAAATAAAAAGAATCTTCTTTCATTGTAACATGAATACTCTTTGAAACACATTACGGTCAGTACTGCATTATGTATTCACCTTTGCAATTCAGTCTTAATGCAGCCCCTAACTGCTTCAGCCTGATCTTTTAAGATGAAGTAGGAAAATACTCCATATCTAGTACTGGGGTCATACTGAACCTTAAGATGCCCATTGCATTTTTCACCTGTCCCTTAAATGCCAATATTTTCAGATGATAATTTGACCTTTTAGTTTTTAAAAAAGTTCTAATCAGGGCCCAAACAGATAAATCAGCCTGAAGTGTTTTCTAATATGTTTAAAAAGACAGGTGAGTACCAAGCACAATAAATAAAATCCAGAAATAATCCTGGAGTCAAAGGCCAGGAAGGTGCCAGAAAAGCATTGTAAAACCAGATGAAATTATTCTCCAACAAGCATTTTGTCCATAAAATGAAGACTAGAATGCAGAAGTAGTGTGAGAATTCAGAAGGCAGCCAGCTTCCCTGTCTTGCAGCAATGCTGCTGTTGGAATACTCTGTAGATATTTGAGCATGGTAGGACCGCCGCAGTTCTGAACTCTAGGTACACACGTAGAACTCACTCCCACAGCTGCAGTCTAGGATCTCTTAGCTCTCTCATTCAACATAACTGTTTGCAGTAATCTCTAATGGCCAAAGACAATATATTTTTAAATGTCAGAAAAGTGAAGAACAGTTAAAGAAGAATATGGGTTTTAATTTTGAAATTATTTTAAGTAAAAAAAAACCCCTCTGAGACCTAAAATTCACAACAATGGGCAGTTACCATCTGGCACTTTTATTTAAAAAAAAAAAAATAAACAAAGCAAGTACAAGCTAAAAACAGAGAGGACACATATTTTGAGCTTTTATGAACAGCTTTCTTCTCACTAACCACAGAGCAACTATGTCACTTTTCTCTAATTTTCACATCCCAATATTTTTAATAACTAGGTGAAAAAAACTGTTGTAAGATGCTGAATGTTCCTACAGTTGATACAACATTTTGTAAGGATCCATATGAATTATTTGCTTACATCTCTTTACTTAATTCTAAATTGCATAAATACATATTTTTATAATTGCTATATATAACAATCTATATATCTTCTTAAGTAGAAACTCTAATGATCCACTGCCACGTCTTTTATTTTTCTTTATATTTACTTATGATGCTATTTTCTCTTTTATCATACTTTTGCACTGTATCATAAAATTAAAAAGGAGTTAAACCATACAAGAAACATTAAAACTACATGTAAGGTCCCTGTTAAACTGCCAAAGCAAAGAAACCAAGTGTCAGGGTGAAATACCTATCTTTTACTTACCTTTCCTACTCTCCGGTTTTGCTGAGACTACTACACGATTGAGTTCACTCCCTTACCAACATATACTGCAATATAAGGGTTAAGAATGTATAAATGTCCAGAACTACGATTCTCCATGATTTCATAATTTAAGCCAGCTCTAAGAAAACCCTGAATTTGTATGATGTGCACATCCACATCTCTGTACATGTATCTAAAGTCACAAAGAAATAATGCTTCTTAACAAAAAAGAGAGTAATTTATCTGTAATGTTTAATTTCTATCACTGCAATGAAAAAATAGTCTATTTAACTCTTCTGGTTATCATAGGATACAGACAATACCTGTTCATTCAAGACCACTAATGCTTATGAGATGAATAGCAGCACACTCAACATATGGTATTTTGCAAGGTCAGTGCAATTCTCTAACTGAAAAGGTTTCTGAAAGAGCTAACACAGAAGCAAACAAAAGGAAGAATGTTAATGTCTAAAAACATGCACGTTTTACTAAAATTCTCACAGAATTTTGACAAATAAACAAAATTCAGTATTTTAAACACAGCAAAAATGTTCCTATTATAATTACTTGCAGAGAGAAGTAATATATTGTACCTTAAATAAAAGCATGAGATGTTCAGATTCTAAATTATAAAAACTAGATCAACAGACAGGTTTCAGACAACATATCTTTCTGTGACTGAGCAACTCTCAGCAATCTTCTCCAGACATTCCTGCATCAGCAAAGATACTGTTGGTTTACATGTCCCAAAACCACACAAAAATATTAAGAGCAGATACAAGCAATGACCCTCCTCAACAATAACTATAGTCAAAGCAGAAGAAATTACAGAACCTAGCGTCAGCTTTTTTCTTCCTTCTCATTTGTGTCTGGAAAGACTGAGGCAAATACAAAGTGTGAAAGAGGGAAAAACCTTCAAATTCCAGACAACTAAAAATTAGGGGGAGCATTTTGTATTTCTTTTGTTTCTATTAAGTCTTGCTATTATTTTTTTGCCTGTAAAATGTGCCTTCTGGATGCCAATGCTTCCCCATAGATATACTGTCATCTTTGAGCAGTGTTAAAAGCTGTGCATTCTAATCTAAGTGGACATGAGATGCTATATATTGTACATGTGAGTAGCACAGCACATTGTGTTTGCTTCAGTGAGAATATTTACACTATAAATACACATCCATTGTTTGAAAAAGCAGACAGAGATCTGAAATGTAAGGATGTGGTTAAAAATACAAATATTTTCACATAAAACCTTTCCACAACCTTGGAACTATGCTTTTGAAGGAATCTGTCTCTATGGAGGTTTTCTTTTCCATTCAAAAAGAGATTCAACATTAAATAAATTATTTTGAAAAGCAGCAAAAGTAATAATTGTATTTGGTTTTAGTATTCTACAAAATTAAATGCAGTAAGCACTTCAAGACCCAATTTTAAATCTTCCAAACAAATAATTTTATTCAGAAGAGACACCTAAGCAGTGAAGGTCACAGTTCAGTAAAGAAATTGAATACTGAAATAATTTTCACTGAAATACCTATTTCACAGTTTTGACAAATAGGGATAGGTTTAGGTCTAAAATTCTTCACTAAATCAGGGCCTACTCTGTGACTAAACAATAGTGGCACAATGTGAGTGTTCACCATTCTTCAACAGATGTATTGCCACAGCTTCTAATATTTACCCAGCCAACAGGAGACAGCAGCTGCAGAAGTTTTCACAGCCCACACTGTCACCTTGCACAAACTGCACTCCGGGCTGGGGGTGATTTCCACTGCACACAAGAACACATTTCATATCTTAGGAAAAAAAAGCACAAATAGAAAAGAAATCTATAGCCACACTTCTCCCTCATTACAGAAAAACAAGAGGCAGATGAAATAAACCAAATCATTTACAGACACGTTTCCAGAATACAGAGTCATGAGAGTTTTACAGAAGAATCCAAAATCTCACATTGTGAGAGTTTAACATGCCTGCTGGAAGATTTGCGAATCTTCTGTAATAGTATATACAAATGTTCATACAAAATTCTGGCACAGACACTACAAATCTGTAGTGTGTGTGTGTGTGTGTGTGTGTGTGTCTGCATTACGATGTCACTATAGTGGAAAAATATGGCTTAGTTATGACAACGGCTAAGGAGCAGCAGAGAATGAGACAACCTGATAACCTTACTACAGAGGTTTGTGTCTTTCATTTCTAATTGCAGCAAAATGGGGGGCAAAACACTAGAACTGCCTACCCTCTAATTCCAATGCAGTGGGTCTGAAAAGTAGATAAGGTACTGTAACAAGAACAACCTCCGTGCTTCTAGCAGGTTGAATGATAACCCTTAAAGGCATCCCATTAAAAGCCAACAAAAAGATTCTTCACCTCTTTCTCTTCTCTCCTCTATCCCCTTAAAATGAATGCTGCAAATTATTAGCCAACGCTGGCAATTGGAGAACGAAGCAGCTTGCATGTGGGTATATTTTCACAGTGATTCTAATCTGAGAAATTTACTTGCTCTTCCCCTTCTATCTGATAAACTATACATTCAAGCGTTCTCATTAGTGCTCGGATCACCAAAGAG